AWTYCCMAAMMAMATTWAATAGCATCATATTGGGCWTTRTCTTACGTTTTCATTCMGCATTAAATATTTCAATGCAACTCGTAATATAACACTTCTTTGTACAACATAAATCATATATCTGTCATATCTGCATATTGCATTGCTTTGGTCTCTGCATGGAAGACGTACAATTCAACTCCAGATAGCTTTTAAAGGGGTACAACYTTGTTRAGTATTGAAATTTCTAGATTTTAATGTTGTGACCACTGGATTGTTTTRAGGTCAATGCCTTCCTGWACCATTTCCCAAAGTGGGCTGAAAATAAAACAATCAAAGTAGTCAAAACAAGGTTCAAATGTTGCCTAAACAAAATAAATTTTTGTTACCTTCTTATTMMTTKGAATAAAGTCAAGAAATAACACAACATACTGGTACTAACAACTCACCTCATTTCYCTGAGACGAGTGACATGTTGAACAATCTTTTCAACTGTGTAGTCAACTTCTTCTTCTGTGGTAAACCTCCCAAGTCCAAACCTGAAACAAGTACAATATGGCAACAAATTAACCCTGTTAAATGGCATGATACAAGTTCTGTGAGGTTCTAGTTACCTTATTGATGAATGTGCCAGGTCTTCGTCAGCACCAATAGCTCGCAAGACATAGGATGGCTCAAGAGAGGCTGATGTGCAGGCACTAAAATAAAGACAGGAGAATTAGTTGAATACAAATACATCATGGTTACGATTTGATATGAAGCAAGTACTCAGAAAACCTTCAGTAAGTATGCAAATTCATATACCTTCCCGATGAGAGAGCAATATCTTTCAATGCCATTAATAATGATTCGCCTTCAACACAAGCAAACGACAAGTTGACGCAKCCCATGTAAGCATGGTCAGGATCACCATTTCTAGTTACATGAGTCAACTGTGAACATATCCCATCAATAAGACGATTTCCAAGCGCTGTTATGTGTTTGTGGTCATACTATAAGATATAATAAATAATAATGAATTCTTCGTTACATTGCATTACTAAAGAAAATGGCAATATGCATGGATGCCTAACAGTTTGCCCACTAACTTGTCATGTCACAAATCATTAATCAGGACTAATGGCAGTGTGCAAACTGTCCGGATCCCATGTACATGTATGTATTATCTACCTCCATTTCATTCTTAGCTACTTCACAGGCAGTGCCCAATCCAACACACAAGACATGGGGTAATGTACCACTACGCATCCCTCTATAATTGAACAATAACAAGAATATTACTAAAGTCAAAGAAAAATTTCTGCTGGAAAGGAATCTGAGAGTAAGTTAAATCTTACCTTTCTTGTCCACCTCCACTTTGGATTGGTTCAACACGAACACGTGGTCTTCGCCTGACATACAGTGCACCAATTCCTTGACAAAAAGTGGATTATTGAAATATAAATGCAGCTGACAAATATAAGAGCATACAGACATAAAGTCAAACATGCAGACAGATAATTGAATTGCTCAAAGAAGACAACTATCTGAGGTATTGATAAAATTAATGTATCCAGAATGAGCTGGTGGCATTGTGCACACATGGGTTTTCTCAYGTACAGTAGCATTTAATTGCAATTTAAAAAAAAGAGAGTTAAATTTTGGTAATTAATTAAACTAAATTACCTTTCGGGCCATATATTTTATGTCCACTGACAGACAAAAGGTCAATCTTCATGTCATTGACATCAATTGGAATTTTCCCAACAGCCTGGAATACAACAATAATTATGCATTTATAATACTTTGTACCAATAGCAATTACAATAATCTATCAAATTCTAAAGCAATATAATTTATATATTTAGTAATGATTTACTGCTAATTACACACCTGAGCGGCATCAGTATGAAAGTAAATCTTGTTCTTTCGGCACAGCTCTCCTAAGAAAACATGACTATGTAAGATATATCATCATTTATTGATGTTTTATCATTGATAACTATGACCATGTATTTTATTGAACAACCATCCTAAACTTTTAAATGTACCTATTTCTTGAACTGGTTGAATGACACCTATCTCATTATTCACAGTCATGACAGACACTAATGACGTGTCTGGACGGATAGACGATTCAAGTTCCTAGATAAAAAAAGAAAGTAAGAAAGCATAAACAAAATGGTTAATGAATAACAAATTAATGACAACAATGAACAGGACAATAACACCAATGATTGAATGAGAATAATTATGAATAGGTAAATGAAATTAAATGAAAGAACAAAGAAACAGATGACTGCTTGAAGAATAAAAGGCATTAAAAATTCAATCTACCTCAAGATCTATCAATCCATTTTCATGAACTTTTAAATAAGTTACTTCAAAGCCTTCACTTTCAAGACTTCGGCATGAATCAAGTACACATTTGTGATCCTGAAAAAAAAAACACAGCTCCCGTTATAATCAGTTAACTACAAGTATATCAWATGTATCCTAATACTTACTGTCTGTGTGGTTATAACATGTTTCTTGTTCTTCTTGTAAAATCTACCAACTCCCTGGAAGTGAGTAGTAAAAAAACAGAAGAGTTTATTAAGTAAGCATTGATGTATAAGGGGACAATCACTAAGCATAAACAGCAAGAGTATTCATAACATAAAATATATAAAGTAATAATAGCAATACCTTGATGGCAATATTGTTTGATTCTGTTGCCCCACTAGTAAAGATTATTTCTTTAGGATCAGCTCCTATCAGGTCTGCAATTTGCTAAGAAACAAAATATTTCATTCTAAAATGACATTTCAAGTAATTTATACAAATTGTGCACTTTGTTAATACATTGACAGAGCTTGTGAAAATACTTCATGATAAAAACTGGACATAGTTTGTGCAAATACCTTGATAAAAACTGGACAAAATAAAACTTTCAAGAGATCGAATGATACATGAACATCACATGACAATGCCTTAATTTTTTATTTTTTTATTTTTAACATGATCTCCTTATCTCTGGATGACTCGTTCATATACATTATTCATTGACACCTGACAATAATTATGACAACAGCCATAACTGATGTCAATCATGTGTTAACTGTCTTGCTGAAGTGCAAATGATGCTGATACTACTGATAAAGACAATGATGAATGTCAATCACTCATAAATTGTCTGGCTTTCTAGTGCAGAATGTCAATCACTCATA